CACCACCACTACCACCACTATTACCACCACAACCATTACCACCACCACCACCACCAATACCACCACCACTACCACCACAACTACCACCACTACCACAACTACCCCCACAACTACCACCACTACCACAACTACCCCCACAACTACCACCACTACCACAATTACCCCCACAACTAACACCACAGTTACCACCACTACCTCCACCATCACTACCACCACCACGACCACCACCACTACCACCGCTACAACCACAACAACTAACATAACCTCACCGAAATGTCCTAGAGCTGGAGCGCTTGGGGTTCTCTTGGAACGAAGTTAGTTGATGGGTTAGAGGCTCCACCATCAGGATGAGCTTGACAACCACGAGAAGAATCAGTACCTAGACACGGAAAAAAGAAAGACAGAAATAAAACGAGAAAGAAGAACAGGAAAGGAAGAATGAGAGGAATGAAAAAAACTCAGATCAATTGGCACGACTAGTGTCTTAACATGAAAGACAGAAAAGAAATGTAAAGTTCCACATTTACACGGAGGGTCAGCAACTGTACAGGAAATGCAGGAGATGAGGGGAAAAATCCACCCTCCCCCCACAAAAAAAGCAAACAAAAAACAACAACCAAAAAACAAAACAAAACAAAACAAACCCAAAACAACAGTGTGTACCCAGTGTGCGCCCTAGCGCGGGCGTGCCGTCAGCTCAGTTCGTACCATGCTGGACTACGAGCGGATGGCCGTGGATCAAATCACCAACGGGGTGTTCTGAACTTGGGTTGTACTGGAAAGTCATAAGTACTCTCAATCCTTTTGGCTCGATCCTATCAGAGATGGACACTGAGTTTGGGAGTCCTGCCTGTCAAACAACCTCACAGTGTTGAAAGGGTGGTTAAACCTACACAAAATTTAGCACACTTTTCGTACCTACCTCTGCGGCTATTGCTGTGACCACGTCTATAAGAAAGGTGACGTAAGCTCTCCTTATGGCCTGTGTAAGTAGGGGCCGACAAGGCTGGAAAAAATGGAATAGGAATAGTAATGTTTTAGGTCTCCATTGACATAATTTAGGTCATTGAAGAGGTTTGCAGCTTCAATTTCTTGTGCGTAAAGCTCGCACTAGAAACATTTCCACTCGTTGCACGGTTTCGAAGTATGGTGTCACTTAGCGGAGAAGAGAGACGAGCGGGCGAAAGTGGTTGGAGGGCACTAAATTACCATTATTATGTCGATGCGCATCTCTTTACTCAAACAAACAAACAAACAAAAGCATTTTTATTCGCAGCCTGCAACTAGTGAAAATGTTCCAAGTGCACGCGAGGTCTTATAAGTCTTTAAGTTAAAGCATATATAGCGGACACATGTCCGAGCAGCTGCTGATCAAAGACAATATTGTGGCACATTCCGGACCATAGAAATCAAGTCAGGAATTCAAAATGTGAATATTTTAAAGTACACATTTTGTTACCTATATTAATAAGTTCTGTTGAAGAAAGAAAAACGGGGCAACCTGAATACATATTGAAGTTATGCTTCTTTATGCAATTTCTTTTTGAAGGGGTTGAGGGGGGGGGGGTAACCCTGAGATTTCACACA